CAAACATTGCTTACGAATCGGGATTGGAGATCGATATTTCAGCTTGGAATATACCATCAAATATAGAACTTGCTGATGAACAGTTTTATAAGTCCACACGAATTGATCTTCTTCTAGGCACCGAAACCTTTTTCAGTTTATTATCGGTCGGCCAGATTAAGCTTGGCGATAATTTACCAGTTTTGCAAAAGGCGTTGTTGGGATGGGTTGTCTCAGGTCGCTACCAGTCAAATAGCAACAACATTAGATCATTATGTATGGTAGCTTGTAATGATGAACTAGATAAAAAACTGGAACAACTCTGGAGGCTCGAGGAAGTCACGTCCGTTGGAGACATGTGGACTCGTGAGGAACACAGTTGTGAACGCCTGTACACGAACACGGTTTCACGAAGCCAGACCGGAAGAATAATTGTCAAACTTCCATTTAAAGATGACCCCTGTTGCTTGGGTGCTTCGTATACGACTGCTCTGCGTCGTTTTATGTCACAAGAGCGCCGCTTGTGGCAGTCTCCAGAACTCGGAAAACAGTACGCTGCCTTTATGGAGGAATACGAAAACTTGGGACATATGAGTATTGTTGAGGAGCCAAATCTTAATGAACCTCACTACTTTATACCACATCACTGCGTCTTAAAGCCATCAAGCACTTCGACGAAATTGAGGGTTGTCTTTGACGCGTCCTGCCGCACCACTTCGCAAAGATCACTCAACGATATACAAATGATCGGGCCAACACTACAAAGAGAGTTAGTAATGCTCCTTTTAAGTTTTCGACTACATCGTTTCGCATTAACCGCTGACATTGTAAAAATGTACAGACAGGTGATCATAAGCCCAGAACATCGCAAGTTCCAATATATTCTTTGGAGAAAATCGTCTACAGATAAGATTAGTACGTACCAATTAAATACGGTTACTTATGGAATGGCCGCCGCACCATACCTCGCAATACGAAGCCTATTCTATTTAGCTGATCAGTACGCATCACAATTCAAAATAGGGTCAAACGCCATCAAATCATCGTTTTATGTAGACGATCTTTTATGTGGTGCCGATTCAGTCGCTGAACTTTTTCGAATCAAACATGAGGTAAGCGAATTGCTGAAATTGGGTGGGTTTGAGCTTGCGAAGTGGCACTCAAACCATCCGGAGCTCAAAGTTGTAGGAACTGTGAAGGATTTGAAACTGGACGATTCCATCACAAGCACACTCGGTATTAAATGGAATCAGAATTGTGACTCTTTCCTTTTCACATTTGAACCGAAGCAGCGTAGCAATAGCCGAATCACAAAGCGATATATTTTATCTATTGCATCTACCCTCTTCGATCCTCTTGGTCTTCTAGCTCCGGTGAGTATCACTGCAAAACTCATCATTCAGGAACTATGGCTGCTCAAACTCGAATGGGACGAGTCTGTCAGTCAAAGCATTCATATGGCTTGGTCCAAGTTTCTCAACGACATGTCGAATCTTAATTTAATCAAAGTTCCAAGATACTGTTTAGGAAGAAACATTCAATCGCTTCAGCTTCACGGATTCTGCGACTCGTCAATTCGTGCGTATGGCTGCGCAATTTATACGCGCGTAGTAGACAGTAAAGACAACATATTCGTACATCTTCTTATAGCTAAGTCGAGAGTTGCGCCTATTAAAAAACAAACGTTGCCGAAGTTAGAGCTCTGTGGCGCTTTGCTGCTTGCACGACTTTTTTCAAAAATTAAACCAATTTTTTCTAATCACAAACTTGACACGTATCTATGGACAGATTCGGAGATAGTTCTGCATTGGCTTAAAATGCACTCCGCTACGCTTTCTACGTTCGTCGGAAATAGAGTGTCCGAAATTCAGGATCTAACTGCTGACGTAAATTGGAGACACGTCCCGACTCAAAGTAATCCAGCCGATATTGTTTCAAGAGGCAGCACTATAGAAGAACTCTTGAAATCGAATTGGTTCACTGGTCCGTCGTTCTTGTATGATAATGCACACAAATGGCCTGATAACAACTGCAATAACGTTGACATGGAAGTCGTAGAAAGGGAGAAACGCAAGGCAGTGTTCACTATAATATTAGCGTCGAATTACATTCTGGAAACTATTGACAACATTAGTTCATATATTCGTAGTATTCGATTAGTTGCTCAATTATTCCGTTTTTATAGCAAGCTGCAAAGAAACGTAACCGAGAACTGCCAGGACGGACCACTTTCATCGCAGGAGATGCATCACGCCTTGCTGTGTATTGTATGGAATATACAACAGCAGTACTTCGCTGAGGAACTCCGCCTGCTGAGAAAAGAGGCGATGGCGAGTGGAACATTGCGGTATCTTAACCCGTTCATCGAATCCGTTGAAGGATTCGAACTACTAAAAGTTGGCGGGCGCTTAGAGTTAGCGGATCTTCCTGATGCTCAAAAGCACCCAATTTTGCTGCCAGCAAAATGTCAATTCGTCGCTCGCTACGTTCATCATTTGCATGTCAGCAACTACCACGCAGGACCTAAGGCGTTAATAGGTTTAATTCGTCTTAAATTTTGGATAGTGAACGCGCGTGAAGTATCTAGACGCGTCGTCAAAAACTGCATCCACTGCGTCAGGTATAGACCAAAGTTGCTACAACAACTAATGGGAAACCTGCCGGTTGAGCGTTTGACACCGTCTCGGCCATTCGCACGCTGCGGCGTCGATTTTTGCGGTCCTGTCAATATATATCTCCGCATCAGAGGAAAGGCGCCCCATAAGGCTTACATAGCCATTTTCGTGTGTTTGGCATCAAAGGCGGTACACATTGAGGTCGTCTCAGACCTCTCCACGGATGCCTTTCTAGCGTCACTGAAACGCATGATCGGACGACGGGGCTTACCCTCCGATATCTTTTGCGACAACGCTACCAATTTTGTTGGCGCGTGCAATAAACTCAAAGATTTGAAAGCGTTTCTGTTTAAACAGGAGCATCAAGAATCCATCATTAAATATTGTGCCAACGAGTTTATTAATTTTAAATTTATTCCCCCTAGAGCACCTCACTTTGGCGGGATATGGGAAGCTGCTGTCAAATCAGCCAAGGGTCACCTTAATCGTAGCCTCTGGGATACAAGAATGACGTTTGAGGAATTGTCTACAAGCATGGTCGAAATAGAAGCAATTTTAAACTCTCGCCCGATAGCACCGCTTTCGAATGACCCCAGCGATTACGAAGCATTAACACCAGGCCACTTCATAATTGGGAGCGCCCTTAAAGCCCTTCCAGAGCGCACAGTCTCAGCTAACATCGATCACCATGAACGATGGACTCGAATTAGCAGCGTCAAGCAAGCATTTTGGTCGCGGTGGTCGCGCGACTATATAAATGAACTACAGATGAGAAACAAATGATCAACTGAGCGTCCAAACGTAGCGAATGATACCATGGTCATAATACATGAAGATAACGTTCCCCCGATGCGCTGGCAATTAGGCAGAGTGGTTAACTGCATTGCCGGTAGTGATAGACGCATAAGAGTAGTAGACGTCCGCACAGCGAAAGGAATCATCAGGCGACCCATTCATAAACTCGCAATACTGCCTGCTTGAAAGTCCTTTCAATGGGGCCGGGATGTTTGGTCACAGTTGAGAACACCTGTTTAACATATTTGACATGTCATAAGTATTGAAGAGATACTCATTTGTGTATTCTCAGAGTTTGTACTCTTATTCCGTATACATACATCATTTTTCGTTAAGTTGAGCATTGTATGTACATAGCACATTCATATTCATATAGAAGTAAGCACACTCGCTGTAAGGCGGAGAAAGGGCATTTATTGTAACTAAAACAAATTGAATAAACACACTCGTTTTGGAAGTCAATCAGAGCGCATCGTTTGCCTTTTATTTAAAGTTTGCAACTAGCATTTTGGTAAATATTTTTAATATATTTTGCGGTTGTGAAAATCCTCACAATCCTACATTTTGGCGCCCAACGTGGGGCACGATTCTTAAATAAAATAATCGAGCATCCCCATCATTTTCGTCATCGCTGGAGGCTCGCATTGGTGGACTCCATCGTGGTCATTTCCAACATCGGAACACGCAAATTGCAATATCCAAGGTCAGATAAGAGTCATTGGGACCAAGTGTACACCATTCCACCCGAAACTAAAAAGAAACGGGGAAACAGTTATACTTTGCACTCACTTCGGCTTTGCAGTTTTGGGTAATTCTGCTAAGCACACACGGCTTGCGCACACTTTGCGTCGCCACCGCTGCTACTACTTGGGGGAGTCGCTGTTGCTGCCGCCGTCGCTGCCACTACTTAGCTGATACGCTGACGCGCGCTCGCACTTCATTTGCGCACTTTGCTGTGCTGCTCTCGTTAGCCCGCTGCTGCTATTTCGCTTATTCGTCGCCTGTGTTAGATCTACGTGTACGCACACTTTGCTTTGCTGCAGCTGCTACTTAGCAGATTCGCTGGCGCTCGCTCGCAATTCGTTTACACAGTTTAATTCGTAGGCGCTATTTGGTTGCCCTACGTCTACGCACATCGTTTCTTCGCTGCGGCTAATGCATTAAGGGGCTGCTGCTACTTATCTAATAGCTGTCGCCCACTAATAGTGTCACTTTCGCATTCGCTATTTTGCGCGGCCTAACTACTCGGCACTGCCCAACGTACGCCAAAGGAGGTTTGCCGGCTGTCGCTGCGGTCATTGTTGCGTCGCATCAAATAGAACACATCGCAGCGTAACTACACTACCTGCTTATATTCCATCGACTGCTCAGCTCATCGCACAACCCAACGTGCAGATTGTTGCGCACACAACATCGAATCATTTGGACTTGGTGTACAGCGAGTACTTGCACCGCTCTATCTGCATCACAATTTGCGCCGATTGCTGCTGATTGCCGCCACCTTTATACGCTGCGTTAAATTTGTTGAAAACGTTCATCATTGATACGACTGACTTTATTGTTTCACCAACCATTGTATAGTAAGTCATTTAATTTTAAGCTTATTTCACCATGTCTCTGGAAAGATTGAAACAATCTCGAGATAGTACTAAAAAAAATATAACACGTATTAAGAATATTGTCAACGATAGTTTGAAACCAGGGGGACAGGCGCTGTCGCCAGCGGAGTACAAGTGTCGACTTGGGATTCTCGAATCCTACTTTAAGCAAATACTGTCGATACAATCAGAAATTGAAGAATTAGATCCAGAAGACAACGCCCGCGGGGATTTAGAAGATCTCTATGTAACGACGAAATTGAGTATTCAGACGCAATTGGGGGAGGACCATAACGCAACACTTTTAGATTCCACTTGCATAGTGCAAGCGAGCTCAAAATTGCCGCAGTTGAAATTACCCTCTTTTTCTGGAAAGTATTCCGAATACAGGAATTTCATCACGTCGTTCAAGCAAATTATTGATCGCGAACTAAGTCTTTCCAACATTGAGAAATTCAACCACTTGCGCAATTGCTTACATGGCCAAGCTTTGGAAGCAGTTAATGCGTTTCAAGTCACGAATGAAAATTATTCTAAAGCGTTGGAAAGACTTAGAGCTCGTTTCGACAATCCAACACTTATTTTTTTGGAAAACATCTCGTCGTTGTTCGAGCTTCCTTCGGTTTCAAAATCCAATTGTGTTGAATTACGAAGTCTCATTGACAACGCCTCTGCAATTTTCGGTTCTTTACGTTCCTTGGGTACCGAAGGTGAAATTGCCCAAGCCATGCTAATATATTTGGTTATACATAAGGCTGACGATGACACAAAAAAGAAATGGAAACAATCATTGGACTTTAAAAGGTTACCTTCTCGGGAAAACTGCACCGATGTTCTGGAAAGACATTGCCAATACCTCGAGTCACTTACTGGCAATAGCGCTTCCGCTCCGCTAACTCCGACAAATAGTAAGGGCTCGAGAGGACACAAACAACAGAAGAGTCATACATTTGCGCTTTCTAATTCGCCATGCGCGGTCTGTTCAAGCGGGAGCCATAAGATTTTTAATTGTGATCGCTTCAAATCTTTGACCGTCATACAGCACTTTGAGCAAGTAAAACGAATAGGGCTCTGTATTAATTGTCTCACTAGAGGCCATCAGTTGTCAAGTTGTCCATCATTGCAAAGGTGCAAAATTTGTTCGCGACAACATCACAGCCTACTTCACCGTGCTACATCGAGTTCGCCAGAATCTTCCAACTCTTTGAATCAGTCACCTCAACCGCTATCAACACCAGGTTTGTCTGCGACCTCAAGTCGTGCTACCACTCACACTCACTTAAAACACTCTTCGTTCGATCAAGTAATTCTGGCTACTGCCATTGTCCTAGTTCGTGACGCTTCAGGCACCTATAGACAGGGCAGAGCATTGCTGGACTCTTGTTCACAAGCTAATTTCATTACCGACGAATTTTCCCAAAGGCTTTTGCTACCCAGAAGCAAACACAATATTGAAATCTGCAGTATTGGGCAGACATCAACCAACATCAAGTACAAAACTACTACATGTATCAAATCCCGAACAACCGGTGTCGAATTGCCTCTAGCATTTTGCGTGACATCAAACATTGCTTACGAATCGGGATTGGAGATCGATATTTCAGCTTGGAATATACCATCAAATATAGAACTTGCTGATGAACAGTTTTATAAGTCCACACGAATTGATCTTCTTCTAGGCACCGAAACCTTTTTCAGTTTATTATCGGTCGGCCAGATTAAGCTTGGCGATAATTTACCAGTTTTGCAAAAGGCGTTGTTGGGATGGGTTGTCTCAGGTCGCTACCAGTCAAATAGCAACAACATTAGATCATTATGTATGGTAGCTTGTAATGATGAACTAGATAAAAAACTGGAACAACTCTGGAGGCTCGAGGAAGTCACGTCCGTTGGAGACATGTGGACTCGTGAGGAACACAGTTGTGAACGCCTGTACACGAACACGGTTTCACGAAGCCAGACCGGAAGAATAATTGTCAAACTTCCATTTAAAGATGACCCCTGTTGCTTGGGTGCTTCGTATACGACTGCTCTGCGTCGTTTTATGTCACAAGAGCGCCGCTTGTGGCAGTCTCCAGAACTCGGAAAACAGTACGCTGCCTTTATGGAGGAATACGAAAACTTGGGACATATGAGTATTGTTGAGGAGCCAAATCTTAATGAACCTCACTACTTTATACCACATCACTGCGTCTTAAAGCCATCAAGCACTTCGACGAAATTGAGGGTTGTCTTTGACGCGTCCTGCCGCACCACTTCGCAAAGATCACTCAACGATATACAAATGATCGGGCCAACACTACAAAGAGAGTTAGTAATGCTCCTTTTAAGTTTTCGACTACATCGTTTCGCATTAACCGCTGACATTGTAAAAATGTACAGACAGGTGATCATAAGCCCAGAACATCGCAAGTTCCAATATATTCTTTGGAGAAAATCGTCTACAGATAAGATTAGTACGTACCAATTAAATACGGTTACTTATGGAATGGCCGCCGCACCATACCTCGCAATACGAAGCCTATTCTATTTAGCTGATCAGTACGCATCACAATTCAAAATAGGGTCAAACGCCATCAAATCATCGTTTTATGTAGACGATCTTTTATGTGGTGCCGATTCAGTCGCTGAACTTTTTCGAATCAAACATGAGGTAAGCGAATTGCTGAAATTGGGTGGGTTTGAGCTTGCGAAGTGGCACTCAAACCATCCGGAGCTCAAAGTTGTAGGAACTGTGAAGGATTTGAAACTGGACGATTCCATCACAAGCACACTCGGTATTAAATGGAATCAGAATTGTGACTCTTTCCTTTTCACATTTGAACCGAAGCAGCGTAGCAATAGCCGAATCACAAAGCGATATATTTTATCTATTGCATCTA